CAGCACTGCCAGGAATAATCCTAAGCGCAGAGCCAGGAATAACCCCTGAGCATTGCTGGTGTGACCCAAAAAAAAAAGCAAAAAAAAAAAAAAGGCTAGAGTACATCACAGGGCCACGCGTGACACAACAACCAAATACCACTAGTAAGACAAATAAACTAAGACAAATAGGGTGGGGATGTGGCTCAGCGGTGGAGTGCTCACCTTATCACCTTACATGTGTGAGGCCCTAGGTTAAATCCCCAGTACAGTAACAATCAAATGGCCAAGGAGACAACTCAGAGGGCCATGTAGTCCACTAAGCACCAAGCTGAGAGTAGCTTTAACAGTCAGGTAGGACCCAAAATGAAATAAAAAATGAGAAAGTATCTAGCGGCCCGAGGCAAGCTCAGCTGTAGAGCAACTGTTTTGTAGGTGTGACCTGCAACTTAGGTCCTTGACATCATCCCACATACCTAGTGCAATCCCGAAAGTATCACCCTTTGTGATTCCTCGCACCACAAGTGTATGATCTCTGGTGTACCATAACTGAAGAGTGGGATGCCCAGCAAACACCACCAATAAATGAGTAAATATTTTAAAGGACTGGTGTGGGGGCGTGAGGTTAAGGCACTTGCCTCACACGCGGCTGACCCTTGTTCGATCAACCTATAGTACGGCCAAGAATGAGTACAGAGCCCCTGCACATCACTCCCAAATCAATGTGTGGTCCCAATATATATGCAGGGATGTGACTCAGTGGTACAGTTGCATGCCTCGTGTGAGGTACCAGAGTCAATATCCAACTAGACTGTGGCCCCAGAACCACAAAAGCAATTGGGAAACTAATTAAAATTATTCCACATAGGAAATACAAGTGCCTTGCACATAGCTCACCAGAGTTCAATTCCAGGCACCACATATGGTCTTCAGAGTACCACCAGGTGTTATACTGAGCATAGAGCAGGAGTAAACTCTAAGCACTTTGGGGAGTGCCTCCCCAAGTGATTCACACGAGGAAAAAAATCTAATCCAGAGGACTTTAATGGTAACACTAGAAATAACTAATGCCCCTATACTAACTCTTCCTCCCAACTCATTTAAGAAGGATAATACTGTTCTGAAAAAGGATAAAGATATAACTAAAAAAAAGATTTTTAAAAAGAAAGAAATCCTCAGGCCAATAGGCCTAACAGACACAAAAATTACTAGCAAATATTAGCAGACTGAATTCCGGAACATATAAGAGCATTATATTCTAGGAACACAAAATTGCTTTAACATCTGAAAATCAAAAAGTAAAATACACCACTTATCAGCGGAGGCAGAAGCATGATTAAAAATTTTACTTCTATTTTGCTATTTACAACATACAAAAATGCTTCCTAAGGGGGCAGAGAGATGTACAGCAGGTAAGGTGCTTGTCTTGCACATGGCTGACCTGGGTTCAATCCCTAGAACCACTTTTGGTTCCCCAAGCCCAACAGGAGTGCAACTTATGCAGAAAGCCAGGAATAAGCCCTGCGCACCACTAGGTGCGGTGTCTGGCAAAAAAAAAAAAAAAAAAAAAAAGCCTTCTAAGACCACGAACCCCAAATATACCTGAAACAAGAGGCAAAAGAACCGCTCATGTCAAACAAGCTACTCTATCTCCAGAACCAATGAAAAGTTACTTTTCATATTTGACGAATTCGGGGCTAGAGAAGACAGTACAGGAGTTCAGAAACTTGCCTTGCAGTCAACCCTGGTTCAATCCTCAGCACCCCAAATGGTCCTCGGGGTCCAGTGATGAGCCCCCATGAGCACTGCTGATCGGTTCCAAAAATTCTTCCACCACTGCCCCCTGCCCCAAACCGACAAATTCCACATCCTTTCAACCTTCTGATTTTGATTTGGGGGTGACACCCAGTGGTGTTCCATCCCTGATGGAACCCAGGCCTTCCACATTCTTTCATGTACTTAGGCCATTGATGTATGTCTTGGATCTCAACTCCTTTCAACTTCTATCCCAAAATTCACTTACTCTTGGAGAACATCCAGATCTTTAATTCTCCAAGTGTGAGTCAACAAGCACTGTCATAAAGTGATCCAATCTTTGTCTTCTTCATAAATTTTGTATTCTAGTATACTGGGAATCACACTAATTCTCGAAGCCTAACAGCACCACTGACTCATGTGTCTGAGATTCTCTATCTGTTCATTACGTGATTCCTTCTTAAATAACATCTCTATTATTTATTAACTGGCATGACTGAATTGTCTGGACCTAAGTAAAATGCCTTATGTTTATATGTCCCTCCCTTTTTCACTAAGCTACTCTGGGCAAATCTTGAAATCAACCAGATGAGACTTTCTTTACTTCTTGAAACCAACAAATTTGAAAGGCACACCATCTAGATACGGTTCTAAACACAAAAACTGATTATGAAAGTAAGGAAGCGTCAACTAGAATCCTCACATACACTGCACCCATCAACAGTCCTCTCCAGATAAACAAGTTCAAAAGCCGGCACTCGTATAATTTTACCACAAACCAGCAAATCTTCTGGCTCACCCAGAAGGTATTATAAAAGAGTTAACAGATATCTTGATAAAATTCTGACACTATTACCTTGAGACACTAAATTCTTTTGAGATGTCAATTCACTGTTGTTGCTCCAGCTGACCTTAAACTTTAGTGACCTGTGCTAGCTGCTTAGAACTATGACACAGTCTCCACTTTGCATTGAGAATCTGGGAAACTACATAACTTCAACACTCTAGTCCAGGGTTTCTCAAAGGGGCTGAATATCTTGGCCCCTGTGAGTCCCTGATTATCCCAAGGGGCCATGAGACAAGAGTCTGAACACGGAGGAAATCAGATGGTGGGGGCGGCAGGACTGAACAAATTGAGCAATGATGCTGGAGTTCATGTTTGTAAAGCTCAAGTTTTTGTCAGTCACTTCAGTGAGTGATAACCAACTTTTTCATAAAACAGAACATGTCTGCCGGGAATCCTTGTAGAAAGGGTAAATATTTTAAACGTTTGTTCCCAACGTGTGTGTGCGCACCGGGCACGCTGGATCGCTGCTGTGATGTAGAATAGAGGAATCGGAGATGAAAAAAGCCCTAGAGTTCCAGGGAGATAGAGCAGAGGTCAAGGCCCTTGCCTTGCTGGCTGCTGACTTCATTCCTAGGCACTGCATATGACGGTTCACCTTCCCCTGCGCCTCCTGGAGTGATCCCTGAGCACAGAGCCAGAAGACCTGACCACAGTCGGTATAGCCCCAAAACCAGAAAGAATGAGAGGAGCTCTGAAAAACATTTTGCTAGTTCCCAGAAGGAAGCATGACTTTAAAATATACATATATGGTGGGGTCGGAACGACAGCACAGCAGGTAGGGCAAACGCCCCTCACGCTGGTGCGGGGAGAGATCTCCCGCACCCTTTCTAGACCCCCGAGACCACCAGGAGTCATTCCCGAGTGCAGACCATAAGTATGCCTGAGCATATAACCAGGTGTGCCCCCTCCCCCCAAAAAAAAGCACTGCAGTAAAGATCGAAGAGCTAGCACGGTGGGTAGGGCACCTGCCTTTACGTGGCCCACCCAGGCTAAACCCCTCGTACCCTCCACGTGGTCTCCCCACACCAGGGTCGCCAGGAGGGATCACGGAGCTCAGGGCCACGTATGAGCCCTGAGCGTGGCCAGTGTGGCCCCAGAAGTCACAGCCATCACAAAGATGCTCGTTCCCACCTTCCTTAACGCAGTGACTCTGATAGGAAATTTGTGCTGGGTACACCTTAACCCAGCCATTTTCGGAAAGAAAGTCGAAATGCCGTGGACGGTGACTTAAGACCTTGGTCTAGGGGCTGGAGCGATAGCACAGCGGGTAGGGCGTTTGCCTTGCACGCGGCCGACCCGGGTTCGATCCCCAGCACCCCATAGGGTCCCCTGAGCACCGCCAGGAGTGATTCCTGAGTGCAAAGCCAGGAGTAACCCCTGTGTATCGCCAGGTGTGACCCAAAAAGCCAAAAATAAATAAATAAATAAATAAATAAATAAAATAAATTCTTGGGGCTGGAGAGATAGCACAGCGGGTAGGGCGTTTGCCTTGCACGCGGCCGACCCGGGTTCGATTCCCAGCATCCCATATGGTCCCCTGAGCACCGCCAGGAGTAACTCCTGAGTGCAGAGCCAGGAGGAACCCCTGTGCATCGCCAGGTGTGACCCAAAAAGCAGAAAAAAAAAAAAAGTGCAGGGGCTGGAGAGATAGCACAGCGGGGAGGGCGTTTGCCTTGCACGCGGCCGACCCGGGTTCGATTCCCAGCATCCCATAGGGTCCCCTGAGCACCGCCAGGAGTAACTCCTGAGTGCAGAGCCAGGAGTAACCCCTGTGCATCGCCAGGTGACCCAAAAAGCAAAAAAAAAAAAAAAAAAAAAGACCTTGGTCTAGGTGCTTCGAGAAAACAAAACGAAACAAACAAAACAAAACCGGATCCCAACTTCCCCCCACTGTCACCCCAGGGGCGGCCGTGGGGGACTCCCCGCGGGCTGGACCTGGCAGGTTTGCAACCGAGTGTCCAAGCAGGGGGGGGTGGGGGACTCGGTCACACGCAACAGGTCCACGGCGGATTCAGGGGACGCGCAACTCGGTCCACTCGGGCGGCCGGCAACGCGGCGGGCACGCGGGAGGAGGCCCCCCAGCAGCGGCGCCCCAGGGCTCCCGGCGCCCCTCCCGGCCCCCCCCTCGGGTCCCCAGGCTCCCGGCCACGGAGGCGGCGCCGCGTCCCGCCCCCCGGGGGTCTCCGCGCCGCGCCCGCCCCCGCCCCCCGCCCCCCGACGCGCCCGAGTCCCCGAACGCCCCGTCCACCGGCTCCCAACGCGGACCACGTCCCCGAGGCGACCCCCGCCCCGCTCCACAGAGCTTCTAGAAAAGTCCAAGAGGCCCGGAAGCCCGAAGCCGCCCGGCACGCCAGCCCAGCGACGCCGGAAGCCCCCTCCCCCAAGCCCACCCCGGCCAGGTGCCGCCCCTCGCTCCCACCTCCACGCCGTCGGGGCCCGCGCCGCCTCCGCCACACCACACCGGGGAGACCCCCACGACACCAGCGTCCCCGAGCCCCTGGGGGCTTCTCCCCGCACGCCCCCTCCAGTCGCGGCCGCCGCCGGAAGCGCCCCGCGCGGCTCCACGCCGCCGCGACGTCACTTCCGGCGCGACGCCGGGAACCCGGAGCGCCCGGGAAATTTGAGCGCCCGAGCGAGCCCGAGCGAGCCCGGGCTGGAGGCGCCCCCGCGGCCCTGCGCGCCTGCCCGCGGGTGCCGGCTGCAGACCCGGTCGCAGACCCGGTCGCGGTCGGTTCTTGCTTTCCCGCCCGCACCCCCGCTCCTCTCTGCGCAGCCCTGCCGAGAAGCCTCCGCTTTTGCACCCGGTCCCCCGCGCATCGCCAAGCCCGGGCGGAGTCGTGGGCCTGATTGATGTAGGCAGGTGGACAGGCAGGGCCCCCTCCCGAGGCCACGGCCAAAGCCAGCCCTGCAGAAAATAGCAAAACGGGAACCAAGGCTTGATAAGACCCTCACCTGGCTCCAGCAACAGACCCAAAGAAGCTCCTCTAGGCACAAAAGGCCAGGAGAGGAATTTCAAAGAAGCCCATCCCCACGCCCATCCTCCCTGGCAACCTCCTTAGCATTTTCATTCATTTCATTTCATCATCCTGTTATTCGTGGGTTGCCTCGAGCAGGCCCCAGTAACGTCTCTTTCATCCTAGCCCGGAGATTATATTCAAGGCTCTTTAGGAGAATGAGACCCATCATTGTTACTGGTATTTGGCATACTGGGTACGCCACGGGGAGTTTGCCAGACTCTGCCCTGTGGGTAGGCTACATTCGAGAGCCTGCCAGTTTGTCCAAAGTAGGAATAAGCAACGGGACATTTACCTGGGAAGAAGCCCCACGTGGGGGCAGGTTGGAGAAACCCCTATAAAGGCCACCTTGAACAAAGGATAAGGTAAGGTAAAGGTAAAGGCCCTCCCGTTGATCGTCGATTTGCTCGAGCGGGCCCAGTAACGTCTCCATTGGAGACTTTGTTGTTACTGTGTCTGGCATCTCGAATACTCTCGGTAGCTTGCCGGGCTCTCCGAGAGGGGCGGAGGAATCGAACTCGGGTCGGCCATGTTGGCTGCGTGCAAGGCAAATGCCCTACCCGCTGTGCTATCGCTCCAGCCCTTGAACAAAGGAAGCGCCCGCATATGCTGCCTGAGCCCATGTGCTGCTTGTGCCCACGTGGCCGAGCACATGTGGTTCCCGGGCACGTGTGTCGCCAGCACCTCCCCTCTTGAGATGTGGACTTTCATGCTTTCGTGTCTAACTTTACTCTCTCACTCCCTCTCCCTCCCTCCATACCTAAAAATCCTCCAAGTAAAATCTATTTACTTCACTGCTTGTCTACTCCTGAAATTCCTTTCTGCGAGGCGAGACAAGAACCCAGCAACCCTGGGTCCCGAGTGGCAGAGGCGGGTGGGGAGAAAGTGACTGTCTTTCTCCTCCCTGCTTCACATAAGTCACCCGTGGGGCCCACCGACATCATGATGAGTGGGGGGTCCTAGCTTTATCTTTGGGCCTTGGCTCCAGCTGCGTAGGCCGACCCCGCCACGAGTGCAAGGAGGAAATTCAGGGCCGCCGCAGTCACAGAGCGAGCAGGATGCTTGTCTTGCATGAGGTTGACTCGAGGTTCTAGCAAGGCCGCCAGGGGTGATCCCCGGGCTCAGAGCCAGGAGTAAGTCCTGAGCAATACCGGTTCTGGCTCCACAGCAACAACAAAAGTGATGTAGGCAGGTAGATAGGGAAAGGCTCTCTGCAATGAAACAAAGTCTCATAGAGGAAGAATTCTAGGACCAACCCACCCTGTGGAGACAGAGAATAAGGACTTGATAAGACCATCCCCAGACCCTGAAGATATGGGCCTCCTCCCCATGAAATTCCTCCTTTCCGAGAACCCCCCTTTCAATCCTGTTGACTCCAGCGACCCAGCCCCAAGGTGATTCCAGGACATTCCAAGTCAGATGATTCTCGAACCCTTTTCAATCAGGTTGACTCCAGCGACCAAGCCCCAAGGAGATTCCAGAACATTCCGAGTCAGAAGGATCTATAAGAACCAGCTCGAGAGCCCACTTGGCGCTCTCTCCACCCTCGGAGAAGCCCGCGTTCCCTCTGGACGCGTTACTCTCTCTCTCTCTCTCTTACTCTCCATTCCCCCGCTTACCTGCTTATCCCTTTCTCTCCCTCTCCAAAAGCCTCCAAATAAAACCTGTTACTTCACTGCTCGTCTACTCCTGAAATTCTTTTCTGCCAGCGAGACAAGAACCCCAGAAACCTCGGGTAAGGCTTGGGACTGGTCTCTCCTTTCCTGCGAAGAGCAAATTCTCGCCCCAGCTTGAGTCCGTGGCTCCCCGAGCAATCGGGTGGCGGGGATTAACTCCCGTGCCGAGAAGATCAAGCGGACTTCAGGTGTGGCTTGACGGCCACCTTGTGGGGCTGGCGGGGCTTAGGCCCGTGCCGAGCAGGTGCTTACTGCAGACTTTACCGGTCCTAGCCTACCCAGGGTTCCGGGTGGCAGAGGCGGGTGAGGAGAAAGTGGCCGTCTTTCTCCTCCCCACTTCACATAAGTCACCCGTGGGGCCCACCGACATCAAAAGGTTTTTAAAGAGGAAAGGAAGTGGCTCGTGTCCAAGTGATGTAGGCAGGTGGATAGGGAAAGGCCCTTGGCAAAGAAACAAAGTTTCATGGAAGAATTCCAGGAGTGACCCACCTTGTGGATACAGAAAACAAAAACCTGATAAGACCATCCAAGACCATCCCTAGACCCTGAGGCTATAGGCCTCCTCCTCATGAAATTCCTCTCTTTGGACCTCCCCTGTAATCTAAGATATAAGTGACTAATTCAAGCTTTATGAATTAACGTCTATTAATGAGAATTCCACTTTTTTCATTCTGTACTATCAATAAAATAAAACTAACCGGAATCATTCAGTCTTACCATGTTCAGGTCAATTCTGTTTCCTTATGCTTGCCAAAAAAGTCTCTGCTACAAGATCGTCAGGGCTGGAGAGATAGTACAAAGGTTGAGGGTTGCCTAGCATGTGGCTGTGACTATGATCCAGGTTTGAATCCTGCACTCTACATGGTCCCCCGAGCACTTCCAGGCATGTCACCTGAACACAGAAGAACCAAAGAGGCTCATGAACACATTTAAAAAAAAAAAATCTTACTGGGTCAGAGAGAGAGTACAGATATTAAGGCCTTGTGGCCAATCCCAGTTTGATCCCCAGCACCATAGATGTTCTCCCGAGCACTGCCAGGAGTGTGAGATCTGAGCACAGAGCCAGGAGTAATCCCTGAGTTCTGCTGGGTATGACCAAAGAGCAACAACGAAGTCTTAATTAGAACCATCACCGGCACTCACATGTCTATACTAAGTAGCCAAATCAATATTACCAGGATTTTTTAGTCCAAAGGCAGGGACTTCATAGACTAGACAGCTCAACTCTGAGACATTTCAATCAAGATCTTACCTACAAAGAATATATGTGTCATCTCACTTCACTATTCTTATGATGAAATGTAATTCAGTAGTATCCATTTTTATTTTTTGGTGATAGGACTAACTCTGCTCATGTGTTAGATTCCGTAACTGCCACAGGATAGTTAAATTAAGTTGATGTGGCATTTGTGTTTTGTCTCTAAGAATACTGCAGAGATCACTTCCATTAAAGGATTCTGCTACAAATGTTATCAGCTGCAATGTGACAAAGAACAGGCAAGTAACTGATTGATCCACAGTTAATAGCTTTCTTTGTTTAGGGGTCACACCCAACTAAGGCTTACTTCTTACTGTGCTCAGGGATCACTCCTGGTGGGGTTTGGGGAGACCATATGATGGGTTGAGGATTGAACCTGGGTTGGTTTGAGGGCAAGACAAGCACCTTAGCTGCTGAACTATCTCTCCAACCTAACAACAGCTTTAGTGCAAAACCGAAGTGCTTCATACAGGTTAATTATATCAAGGAAGCAAAGCAGTCATTGGAGGTTTGGGGTTAGTGGCATGCCTGGAAAGCTCTTATTTCCATACTTTGCTCCCTACCTCTTTTCTTTCCCATCTAGAAGTTTACTCTTGCCATTCTTGTAATAATCACAACCAAAAGAATCCCAGGCTTTTGACCTAAATTTCCCTGCTTGAATTTCCCTGCCTGAATTTTACTGAAAGCACATTTGTGTTTCCATTCGGAATGTTCCTACATCCTCTGCATTCATTGCAAACTGTCAACTGGACCCAGAGGTCTGATCAGACTGGACCCACCCTTTGCTGGTCCCAGGGGCAATGGAGGGCCATTTCATCAGGAGACACGTGCCCAGATCTGTTCTACTTTAATGATTTTAGCAGCTATGCAGTACAGTGCTCAAATTCATTCACTTATTGGCAACTGAGTGATATTCAAATCCTACCCTTTCTTTTTCATGTATTAACTGGAAAACTTTTACTAAGAGACACTCTTTATCTACTCTGTGGTTAATATTCATAATGAGGCTGCTCAGAAAACTGCTCTCCCGAATGAGGACAATGACCTGTGAGATGAAGCTGGAGTTAGGTATCAGAGGCCCAGTCCTGTCTCGTGGTGCTAATGTTGCAGCTTGCTTGCCACTTTATTATACAGCTAAGCAGAACATGTGCTTAAGCATCAGGCTGCTAAAGGAGATGAATGGGCTTTAGAATGAATGTGGCAACTAAAAGGAGCCTCTTAGCCCTCGGAGCAATGGTACAACAGGTAGGACACTTGCCTTGCACACGGTGTGTAGGATAACACTGTTTTGTCCTTCCTCAGGTAGCTTAGGTTTATCGGGTCACACCCATCTAAGGACACTGAACTTGTAAGCAATGTCCTTTCTGTATGGACACAGGAAGACAGTTAATATTATGCTTTGTAACTTGGGAGTTGATTGACTCCGAATAATATTTACTCCTGGGCATCTGATTTCTTGACTCAGTTGCCCTTAGTTCCTAGCACCCCAAAAGCAGGGTCCCGACGAGGGACTGAATGGACCCAGGGCAAGCTGTGAGCTACCCTGGCATGGAAATGGGCCAGGCCAAAGCGCCACAATATTCAACTATAAGTTGAGGGCATGATCATGGACAAATGCTGTCATGATCCAAAAGTAAGTAACGACGAGTCTAGGTCCCTACTGGAGCTAGGGAGATTAACCTGGCCTGGGGTCTGTGGAATGTATAGTGAGATGTTCTCAGGAAGAACCAAACTAAGTTTATATCTCTTACTGTGCTCATACAGAATGACGGTCACAGTCACAGTCTTCCCGTTGTTCATCGATTTGCTCGAGCGGGCCCAGTAACATCTCCAGAATGACATTGCTAGAAATATTAGAAGTAGATTATTACAACTATCTAAGTAGATTACTAACTGAGGGAAGAACTGGGATCCCACCCTTGAGCGGATCTCCTAGGAATCTGGAGTAATCTCTTTAGATGAGATTTTATCCTTGAGTTAATCTCCTGGAGGAGTGGTCTTACCTCTCTTTGTTGATTTGTCAATATAAAACCCATATTTATTTCACCGCCTTATGTGATTGCTATATAAACAAAGACCGTAAGCTCGGGGAAGGGAGAGTCAGAGGGAGAGGGGCTCAAGCTTGAGAGAAAGAACAGCCGTCCTGATCCAGGCCACACACAGGGCTCAAGAGCACCGAACGCAGACGGTGAGAAAGAGCCATCCAGTGAGCCCGTGAACACACAACCTTCGGCGTGGTAAGATTTTACAGCGGTGGACCTGAGTTCAATCCCCAGCATCCCATATGCTTCCCTGAGCACTTCCAAGAACGACTCCAGAGTGCAGAGCCAGGAGTAACTCCTGAGCGTCACAAACATCAACAAACAGCATCAACAACAAAAGCATATAAGAGATGATAAATTATTCTAATTTCTAATATTATTCTATTCTCATTGACAATTACTCATTGTTTCCTCACAGTGCACTATAGTTTAAAAATATTACTGCAATTTTGATCATGGAATTGTTAGGCCTACCACTGTGATTACTGAGAAAAGCATAAATTAGACACATATGGCCCATTTCTCCTTACTTTTTAGAGTAAAGGTTGGTAATTTTCTAAAAAAATTTTTAAAATTTCTAGAAAATTATTTATTTTTAGTTTAGTTTTTGGACCACAGCCAGAGGTTCTCATGGCTTACTTCTGTGCTCAAGGACCATTCCTGATAGTGGTTGGAGAACTGTATGCCATGCTGGAGATCAAACCCAAGTTGGCCAGATGCACAGCAAGTGTAATCCCTCTAATATCTTCTCTCCCTCCCCTTAACTATTTTAATCTCAACAATTTAGTGGTTTGTTTTGTTTTGGGGCCACACCCAGCAGTGCTCAAGGATCAGTCTTGGTGGGGCTCAGGGAAACATGGGATGCCAACATAAATGAAGGTCGGCTGTGTCCAGGAAAGTGATAGCTGTACTATCACTTCAGCCCCCTCAGTGATTTTTTTAATACACTCACAAATTTATCACCATTTACCACCATTAACACTAATTCCAGAATATTTTCATCATACCTCATACCTTCCAAGCCACCCCACCCCTGCCCTCTACCCCTGACAATCACTAATCTCTAGGTTTTGTGGATTTGTCTGTTCTGTACATCGTATCAGGGTATGTGTACAGGGTCCCGGCTGGCCGCCATGGTGATTCCGCAGAGAAAAGGGTGGGGCACTTGGTGCCACCACAAAGTGTGGGGGGGGGGTGAGGATCATCAGGATCATCAAGATCATGAACAATCGGTTTGAGGCTCTTCGTGTTCCTAGAACGAACAGACGCCATTGGGCTACACTAGCACGAGACAGGGACAAATGGAGAACGTTACTGGCGCCCACTCGAGCAAATCGACGATTGACAGGAAGTCAAGTGATCAAGTACATCTTCTACAAATGGAATCGTAGAGTATGTAGTTTTTGTATCTGGTTTCTTTCACTGAGCATGATGTTTTCAAGCATCATCCGTGCTACAACATATAACACAAGATTTATTTGGAAGAAGGTCCTCACCCAGCCATGTTTGGGTCTGTCCCCAGCATGACACTCTAGATCCACTCCTGGGGGTGCTTGGGGGACACTGAGGTGCCAAAAGAGGAACACAGGAACTCTTTCAGGTATGGTATGAATGCAAGACTTTTAAGCCATCTTCCTGGATCCAAAGCAAAGATTTTTGATTTGGGGGGATTTGAGGGCCACACCTGACTGTTCCCAGGGCTTACTTCTGTCCCTGGGTTTAGGGGGTCATTCCTGGTGATGCTCAGAAAACCATATGTGGTACTGGGGATTGAACCAGGTTCTATTGCATGCAAGACCAGGGGTCTTCTCTAATATTTCTTCAGCACGCCAAAGTTACTTTATGAAGTAAAGCACAAAGCAATATATGGTGAACTTGCCTCTTGTCCCTTCAGAAAGCCTTTTAAGGTGACAGAGAGACCATACAGGGGTTAAGACTTGCCTTGCACATGGCCAACCTGGTTACCTCCTTCCCCTCCCCCATTTTTTCGGGGGTCGCCCCCAACGATACTCAGGGGTTACTCCTGGCTCTGCATGGTGCTTGGGGATATGAGATGCCGAGGATCGAACCTGGGTCGGCTGCTTGCAAGGCAAATGCCCTACCTGCTGTACTATTGCTCGGGTCCCTCCCCCCACATTAAAAAATGTCTGTGAAGATGTGATAAGTTTCCCTGCACTCGTCTCTCCCAGGTAAGCCCTCTGGATCTTCCCCTTCTGCCTGCTTTTGTCTGGTTGAGTCCTGATTCCAGAGAACAAATTGGATTATGCATTTATGAGTCAGTTACTCCAAAAAGCTGGAATGTCTCCAGCCAGAAAGGACATTGGTTCACTGTTAACCGACAGTGCCTGATGCTGAGAACTCTTCCTGAGCCCGTGCTGCTCGAGATGGAGAAAGACAGTGACTAATACAGCATCTGCCCCAACAGACTGCGAGCTGCCTGAAGTCAGTCGCTTCACCTCTTTACAGCCTCCTCCTCCTCCCACAGTCAATGTTCCTCAATACTGGACTCAAGACAGCTTGTGGTTAAGCAACGTATTCCCTCAAGTGTTGTGGGGAGGTGCTGAAGCCATAGTACAGTGGGTAGGCCATTTGCTTTGCACGCAGCTGACTTGAGTTCGATCCCTAGCATCCTGTACGATACTCTGAGCACCACTAGGAGTAATTCCTAAGTGCAGAGCCAAGAGTCACCCCTGAGCACTGCAGGTGTGGCCCCCAAACAAAAACATATTGTGGGCAAAAAAAAGTAGCAGGGGGGTCAGAGAAAAGTCATTGGGCAGGAGCACATGTTTAGCATGCAGAAGACCTTGGGTCCATCCCTGTTACCTGTGGTTCCCTCAGCACTGAGCCAGGTGTAACCTCTGAGTACCATCAGATATGGCAAAAAACAAGTATCAAACATGGGACTCCACGGATCCGAGTGATAGGACAGTGGGTAGAGTTCTTACGTTGCACACGGCCAACCCAGGATCAATCCCTGACACCCCATATGGTTCCCCAAATCCACCAGGAGTGGTTCCTGAGTGCAGAGCCACGTGTCAGCCTGCACACTGCAGGTATGGCCCCCAAACCAATCAAAGTCTGTCAGTGTAACCCTGGTGTTCCTCAAGCACCAAACTATCATTCCTGGCACTGCTGGGCCAACTCTTGCAGTTCTTACTAGTTCACTAGGTATCACCACCACCCCCCAAAAAAACATGGGGATGCGGGGAGGGAAACTGGAGGCATTAGTGCTGAGAAATGTACACTGGTGAAGGGACAGGTGATGGAATATTATATGACTGCAACCCAATTAAGAACAACTTGATAACTGTGTATCTCGTTTTTCTGTTTTTGTTTTGTTTTTTGCTTTTTGGATCACACACAGCGATGCACAGGGTTTACTCCTGGCTCTGCACTCAGGATTACTCCTGGCGGTGCTCGGGGGACCATATGGGATGCTGGGAATTGAACCTGGGTCGGCCGCGTGCAAGGCAAATGCCCTACCCACTGTGCTATCGCTCCAGCCCCAATAACTGTATTTCAAGTGACTCAATAAAACAAATGAAAACTAAATATATTTAGATAGTATCTTTATTTAGCCCAGATAATTTTTTCCTTATACATTTCTGAAACTTGCATTGGAATTTTCTCAACTGCAGTTAATTTTTTTTTTCTCAAGCTCTCAAACACAGTCAGTGGAAACATGTGAGTACAATGCAGACTAAAACGAACAGGCTAAAACAAAGTATGTGTCCTTGCTCCCACATACTTTAAAAGTGCATTTTATTTAATACAAGGCATAGAGAAGGGAGAGCAGAAGGTGCTGAAATACCAGATGTCAGTCCCCATGTGGTCCCAACCCCTGATTCAGGCACTTTCTTGGCCCCCGCTCAGACCATGAGTTCCAGCCCTTCAGCATCAGTCCAGGGGCCCGGCCTGGCTCTGAGGAGGCAGCCCTGTTCCCGCTTGCAGGGAGGGTGGAGGGAAACGAGCTTCCCCCAACACAGAGTACAGACCTGTGGGTCAGCTTTGCTGAAGTGGGGAGATCAGCCATGGCAGTATCACAGGCTGCATCTTCCCTTCACTCTGAACAGCTCTCAGCGGTTGAAGAACTTGGCCAAGCTCTGTTGTGGCCCACCCTACACAATTCTCAAGTGAGTCACAGAGAGCCAGCAGGACCTGGGGCTCTCCAGAGCCACCTGGACCTGGGGCTTTCCTCTGAGGGTTCCGGATGCCCAAGGACCTCCTAAGCCCAGCAGGCCTCCTAGCTCAAACATACTTCAGAGGGCTCCATTAGCACCTGCAACTTCTGCCAACATGCACTGTCTATGATCAGGACACAGTTCAGAGGAGAGAGGCAAGCATGACCCCCCTCAGGCTTGTCCATAGCTCAGACTATCAAAATCAGCCAGCCCAATATCTGTGTTTCCACTGAAGCTTTGAAACCCCGGGGATAGTCCCCAGGCTGAGTGTCCAGAAAAACCAAGTAGACAGTCTAGGAGGTGGGGATCTCAAGCCCCTCAGAGCGTGTGTGCGCCTGGAAGTGATGGCAGCGGGCGTGCTTCATGGTCAGCCCGTAGAGGGGGGTCATGTCCACCTTAACACCTGGAGTCACACTGAACTCTATCCTCTGCAGCAAGATGGCCAGGAAAAGGAAGATCTCCCAGCGGGCAATGGTTTCTCCTACACACTTCCGCTTGCCCAGGCCAAAGAGCATCATCTTCTCACTCAGCATCTTGTCAATGGTGCCAGTGGCAGTGAGAAACCTTTCTGGCCGGAAGACAGACGGGTCACCCCACAGCTGCCTGTCAACAGAGAAAGGCAGCTGAAGTGGGAACTCAGAAACATCCTGGGGATTTATCCAGCCCCAAGAGGAAGACATTGGCAAGTGGGCACTGGGGGCCAGCAGTGTCTGAAGCCATCAGGAGAAATGAGGTTTCCTTGTCCCCCACCCCAAACTTACGGGTCATGGTTGATCTGCCACTGGTTCACAAAGACACAGCGTTCCTTGGGGATATAGAAACCGAGCAGACTGGTGTCTCTGGTGGTACTGGGGAAATAGGAAACTGTATCAGACCCCAACTCCCCATCCTGTCCCTCCACCGTTCCCACCCAGCTCTGGGACAGAAGGTGGAGAAACAATGAATTGTGGGGCCTCACCTATGGGGGATGGTGAAGGGGAGGAAGGAGGAGTGTCGGAAGGTCTCCAGGATGAAGGCCTCCAGGTAGGGAAGCTGGGGTCTGTCCGAGAGCCGGGGCTGCCGTGCTCCACCAATCACCGTGTCTGCCAAAGACAAAGGGCCAGAGATGAACGGGCAGCCCAGACTGGCCAGGCCCCTGGTCCTTAAGCCCTTTGAAGGAAGCCGCCACCTACCCAGCTCCTTCTGGATCTTTTTCTGTACATTGGGGCTTGTCACCAGGTAGAGGAGCGCCCAGGAGATGGCAGTTGTGACCGTGTCAAACCCTGGCAAACAGAAGGAGAAGTTAGGCTTCAGGCAGTGGGGCACTTGGGTCCAGGGAAGACCCAGGGACAGCTCTCACCAGCTCCAAAGAGATCCATGACCACATTGACTATCTTCTCATCAGACAGCCGGATGTTGGCGTTCTCATCCAGCTTCTTGTCCTGACAGTGCTCAATCAGGCTGTCTGTGATGTCCCGGATGTGTCCCTGGGGAAGGAGGGCTCCCAGGGGAGCGGGATCTCAGATACGATACAGACCTACCTTAAACACCCCTTAGACCCTCTATTCAAGAGGAGACTCCGTGATATGGCACATATCCCATCCCGGCTTGCCCAAGTCTCTCCTTCCTGCTTCAACATTTGGACTGTCCTAACCAAAGGACATTCAACAGAGGCTGGCTCCATTGCCATCTACACCTGCTGTTTATGCCTTTCTCTACCATGAAGCCAGGGAACTAACTCATTAACTCTTTCTGGTTCTCAACTGTCCTAGGGTCCTCATGGACTGACAGTCTCATGAATACTGCTGGTAATGGGAAAAGCAAAAAGTAGCTTGCCCCCGCCAAGAATCAAGTCAAGGCTGGAGCAGTAATACAGTGGGGAAGGCACTTGCCTTGTACACTGCCACCCTGAGTTTGATCCCCAGCACCACATATGGGCCCTCAAACTCCACCAGGAGTGATTTCTGAGCACAGAGCCTGGAGTGAGTCCTGAGTCGTGACTTCCAGGTGTGGGCACCCTCCTGTCCCCCCAAAAAAGATGGAATCAAGTCCACAGCACTATAAGCTTCAGCATCCCAGGGAGGAAGCCCCTCAAGCCTGCTGAACCCCAAACTCTCTGACCCCCGCTGCCTCTCCCCGGGCCCTACCTTTTCAAACTTTTTGTAGTGTTCCTTGACCATCTTCTGCATGAAGTCATAGAACTTCTTATTCAAGTCCTTGAAGCTGTCCAGGACAGGATTGGGCAGGTAACGGAGGATGGGGATGAAGTCGGCTAGGTTGCCCGAGGCGACTATCTCCCCAAATTCATTACTCAGGTCCACTAAGCTAAGCAGCTCCTGGTCATCATGGTCATAGCGTCGGCCGAAGCATATGGCACAAATGACATTGGCCACAGACACCACTACATATCTATAGGGGTCAAAGTGCCCAGCCCCTGCCATCAGCTCCTGGAACTTGCCAATAAGGTATTGGGCCTCCTTGCTCACGTGCTCCTCCAGGTAGCAGGAGGCTGAGGATGTCGGGTCTGAGGCAATGGCAAAACTCTTCAGGGCATTCTGGGCCAGGCGCCGGCGGGCGGCCCACACGGGGCCCGAGTCTGGGTTGAAGGTCATGCTCTCACCATTTGTGATCAGGGTGAAGCTGTAGAGGTCAGGACGGCCTTTGAAGTCATCTCCCTGCCGCACCAGGGCCTGCCGGATGGTGTCCAGGCCGCTGAGCACCACCACCGGGATGCTGCCGATGCGGATCTCCAGCACGTCCCCATAACGCTGGCTCAGCTTCGACAGAACCAGGTGCGGGTTCTTCCCCAACATCAGTGCATGCCCCAGCAGGGGCAAGCCCCAGGGCCCTGGGGGGGTCTTCAGGCCTTTGGGGGTGGGAGGCTTCCAGGTTCTGACTGCCCAGAACACCAGGCAGAAGGTGGCAGTGACCAAGAGCAGCTCCGTGGTGGAGAACGGGACGGGGAATCCCCAAACAGAAAACATGACGAGTAGAGAGGCAGGTGGCTGCTGAGAGGCGGGACAGGAGAAAAAGAAAGATCAAGATATCTGTGTGTGTGTGTGTGTGTGTGTGTGTGTGTGTGTGTGTGTGTGTGTAGTGGGGAAACCAATACCAATACCAATGTCCTAAAGTCTGATCATATTGGACAAAATCATGTGCAAGGCATACGCTTTACACACTGGACTGATTCTACGGCTCCAGGAAAGAGGATACTTTCTTATCCAAACTTTCTCACTGAGCAAGAGGAGTAAGAGGAGGTGGGAGAACCCATTTGCTGAGCTGCTCCTATAAACTAGGACACCCACAGTCATTCATTCCCTCTGACCGTAGCTTCTGAGTCAGGCAGCCATGAGACTCAGAGAAGGAAGTAATTTCCCTAAGGTCACAAAGTCAGGGAGTATTAGACTTATACTCCCAATTCAAATAGCCTAATTCCAGAATACTCTTTTTTTTGGGGGGGGGTGTGAAATGGGGTGGGAGAGAGAGGAGGGTGTTGGGAAGCCACATCCGGTAGTGCTCAGGGCTTAATCCTGGCTCTTTACTAAGGGATCACTCTTGGAGAGGCTCAAGAGAGCATCTGAAGTGCCAGATATCAAACCTGAGTCAGCATAGACTCCATGCAAAGCAAGCAACTGGCTGACCCATGGTGCTATCTCTCTGATCCCAGAATTCCCTTTCTTAACTATTGTGACAGTCTTAAACATTTTTCTCTAGACACCAGCCTGTGATTTCTAGATAGAACTGTACAATTTTTTTGTTTTTGGCTTTTGGGCCACACCCAGCTGTGCTCAGAGGTTACTTCTACCTCCTGCACTCAGGGAATCACTCCTGGCAGTGTTTGGGGGACCAAATGGGACCCAAGGATCATATACAAGGCAAGCACCCTGCCCGCTGAACTGTCTCAAGCTAGCCCCCTTACTTCATATCTTTCTAAATGTCCACTGTCCACTGTCCTCCCGTTATTCATCGATTTGCTCGAGCGGGCCCAGTAATGTCTCCATTGTGAGACTTCTTGTTACTGTGTTTGGCATATTGAATACTCTCAGTAGCTTGCCAGGCTCTCCGACTTCAAATCTACTCACTCAGCATCATCCCAGATAATGTGAAAATACAGGTTTTATTTCCCCTCCCTTCCAACATATATCAAAAAAACACACCATATCAGGGCCGGAGTGATAGTACAACAAGTAGAATTCTTGTCCTGTATGGGACTGACCTGGGTTCTATTCCCAGCACCCCATATGGTTCCCCAAGTACCCCCAGGAGTGTCCCTGAGCACAGAACCAGGAGAAATTCCTGAGCACTGCTGGGTATGGTCCCCCCCCCACCAAACAAAATCCAAAATCCAAATGTACCACCTCCAATCTCTCAAGGACCATCCATCACACTTGGGAAAATGCGGCTTTCAACGCTAGAAAGTATCTGCTCCTTTAACCACAATTTGGGGGAAATAGCCACCTGAGGGGGCATTAACCTGTCTAAAATCTCCCAGTACTATATGAGAGCCAAGAGCTGACCTCTCTGGGAAAGTTCTCTTGGAAGTTTCCAGTTCCAGTTGAAGACAGGTTAGATCAACCTGGAAATGGAACTAGCCCAAATCCTCATCTCTTTGCTGCTGAACTACAGGACCTAGGAAATCTTCCAGACCAGACCCTGAGACAGGGAAGGAAGTGAACAGGGGGCTAGAAGCCACTAAGTCCCTGCTCCCTGCTTTTCACCAACCCACACTTTATTTATTTATTGCTTTTTGGGTCACACCAGGTGATGCTCAGGGGTTACTCCTGGCTCTGTACTCAGGAATTCCTCCTGGCAGTGCTCGGGGGACCATATGGGATGTCGGGGATAGAACCATATGGGAACCCTACCCACCAAACTCTCTCTCCAGCCCCACCAACAACCCACACTTTAAAAGCAGATGGAGGGGGCCTGAGAGATAATACAGCTAAGACAGCTAAGATAAGGAATAGGGTAGGCTGACACAGATTAAATCCCCGGCACCTCATATGGTTCCCCAAACTCTACCAATCCCTGAGCACAGAGCCAGGAGTACGGTCTGAGCACTGCCAGATGTAACCCCAATTCAAATAATAATAATAATAAAAAAAAAACAGAAGTAGTTGGAGATCACCTGATTGAGGATCCATGTCACAAAACTCCAGGCCAGGGATTTTGCTGGCACCATTCTCAATGAATGAGTAATGTCTGGACCTCAGCTTAGCCAGGCAATGCGTGAGCAGAGAATAAGGGAGAGCTTCCACCAAACCAGGACTGCAAGAAAACTCTAGACTGGAATTCCAGGAATTAGAAATGGATTCATACAAACTAGGCTCATGACAATCCATGTTCCAGCCTGGGTCTAGAAGGAATGTGCAAATTCATGACTTGAAGGTCTCTTCAAAGTCGCAACCGGTGCCCTGGATTGGAAGTCAAGAGAGCCAGGCTCCCAGGATTTGAATTGGGCACTTTGCATTTCTAGGTTTTCATCACCTGAGACAGGTGGGACCCGATCTCTAATTCAGTGTGACACACTGGATCTCAGGGAAGATCCAGATCCAGTCAGGTAACCTCTCAGCTTGTCCTATTGGGTTCCCAAGAGAAGAACCACACAAACTGGGCTGTCCATAAGCTTCACAGACTCAACTAGGGTGGCTACATCTGCCTGCGGGGGAGGGGGGCTTTCTGGAAGAGCTCAGTCCCAGAGCACGCTTGAACCCTGATTCCAGGAGCCTACTAGGAGGAGTGCCAGACCCTGGTGTGCAGTGCTGTCCCCTTCTACACAGTGGAGGACCTCCAACACTAGGGGGATGGTAGGAAGATGAGAGACTCGGGGCAATGGTGTCCAGCTCCTGGGAGTTGGCAAATTCTCCTCCAGACTGTTTCCAGCACAGACAAAAGAGACAGTCAGCCAAAGTGGGTGTCAGAAACTCCTGCACAGACCCAGTTCCTCTGTCCCTTGCAGTACATCTGCTTCAGATGAGCTGAGCCAACCCTTGGGAGGATAGAAGCAGTCCGGGGTAGCTTTAAAATAAAGTCATATAGGGGCCAGGTGTAGCAGGTAGGGTTTGTGCCTTGCATACGGCCAACCTAGGTTAGATCTCAGGCATCCCATATGGTTCCCCAAGCACCGTCAGGAGTGATTTCTGAGCACAGAACCAGGAGTAACCCCTAAGCATTACAGGGTGTGGTTCCCTCCACACACACCCCCAAGAAAAGCCAGACACAGCTGGTAAGAACCCAAGCTTCCAGGCCAGAGAGCAAGTTCAGGACTTAAAAGCCTGTATCTGACCCTGACCCACTCAATCCCCAGCACTCATATGCTTGGGAATGCACATCTCCAGGGAGTAACCCCTGAGCACCTCTGGGTGTGGTACAATCCCCCACAGAGTCCAAGCTGTCCCTCCATCCACACTGGTCACCTCTCACCATTCATCATAGCCTGGTGGAAGGAATGTCCACATTCCCCTCTTCCCATAGCAAGTGTGGTAGTGTGTGTGGGGGGGGGGTTCTCAGAGGGCTGTGAGGCTGAGGCTGGAGAAGGGGTCCTGGAGGCCCAAGAGAGGACATCTCCAACTAGCATTCGGAGCTGGCTGTGAGACCTTGGACAAGTCCTGCTCTTCCCCAGACCTCAGTCGCCCCCCTGGGAAACTGTCCTGCCTGGATATTAAGGGCACTAAGTTTCCTTCTGTTTTCACCGGGTGTGGTTGGACTACACCCCACAGTGCTCAGAGCTTATTTCTGGCTTTGTGCTCAGGGTTCGCTCCTGGCTAGGCTGGGGTCCTGGGGCTCAAACCCAGGTCCACCCCTTGCAGGGCAAGTGCCCTACCAGCTGTGTAATCTCTCAGACCTCAACCTCCTTTTTTTGAGGCGTTAAATAAGAAGGGGTAAAGGACAAGGCAGCGGGCTGTGCAGGGGAACACTCACCTATTGCTGGGAGGAGAGGCCGAGCCGAGTTGAGAAGAGTGGGCTCTGTGCAAGGACCCAAGGGCAGACTCAGAAGAACTGTTACCTTGAAAATGAGCCTGAAGGCACCCGCGCCACCTTTATAGGCTGTGTGTGGCCACGCCCCTGAGCCCAATGGGGGTGGGGCGGTGGGGGGCGAGAGTGGGGGGGTCTTTCCCGGCGGGAGAGGAAATGGGGTGAGAAGGAGGGGGGACAGGTTGGAAGACACTGCGGGGGGGGGGGGGGGGACTCCTCTTGCAAGTGATTGCATTTAAAGGGATAAGGGTGGGAAAATTCGAGGTCCAAAGTGTCCCGTGGAGAGCGCAAACCCAGCTTAGGAGGCTACAAGGAGGGGCGGTGGAATACTGCTGGAAGACCCCCGAGTGAGGACCATTCTCCCGGACACTCGGACCTCTCACCCTCATTTTGCACCTACAACGAGGGGGACGTGCCTGTACGCCCCCTCGCCGCTAGCGGACCCGACTCGGGCGGGCACGGGCGGGGCTCCGGGGCGGGGCTGGAGGGGGGGGCGATCTCTTCCCCCATCCCCGGATTACTCAGTCCGGTTCGCGTGACAAGCGCGGCGACCCCAGCCCCGAGGTCACGGGGCCGGAAGGCCAGAGGCGCCGATGGGCTGGACGCGTCCCCCAGCGCCCGGGCGGCTCCCGGAGGTCCGCAGGCGGCCCCCCCACCCATCTGGCGCGTGTGCGGTGCGCGTCTTCTGGGGCGCGCTCCCCAGGGTCTGGGTGCAGCCGCTGCGCACTTTTGCGGACGCTGCTAACCTGCAGCCGGGCCCCATCGGCCCTCGAGTCTCCCTCTGAGCCCCTGGGGTCGCTTAGTGCTTCGGCGGAGCCGAGGAACCCATCGCGCGGCGAGTGGGCTGCACCGCTGCCCCCGCTCCGTCCAGGATTAGAGGGAGACCTTCGCGCGGGGCAGGACGGGCACCTGGGGACCCAGGTGTGTGTGTGGGGTGGGGGTGGGGGTAAGGGATGGGGGCCTGGAGCAGATGCCGCTGCCACCAGCGTGCACGTGTCTGGTGCAGCCCTCC